ACTGTCCTGGTACCAGACCAGTCGTACGGTGGTAGCGAATCTCCCTCTGATTGACAAGTGGCGCGACTGCATGTGGTGGTGACGATCTGGGGCATACTTTGGCCTAGATGATGTCGGGATTCCAGGGAACTACAATAACTAGACCAGAAGAACTCCGAAAAACCGGAGATCATGCTGGGGCTCGGACAACCGGGGAGGATGGGCCATCCAAGTGTCCAGATATCCAAGATGTATTTCACTATTGAGACGCAGACGTGATACTGAAGCTTTTGGAACTACGAATTATCGCGCACGGTAGTGGAAAATATAAATTAAAGCTAATCAGATGTTTTTTCACAGCAAACTAAATGTTGAAGTCGACTAGGACGTCCTTACGAAAGGTATTATCTCCTATGCAGACCTTTCCTAGATGCACGTAAAATAGATTCCTTCAATCTCTAACATCCAGCCTTGGTTGTCGGTGGATCACAAAAATCAAGATTTATGAACTGCCTAATTTTCACGAAAATGCAAACTCATTTTCTACTTCATGTCAGAAGAGAAAGTTCTTTTCTAGTTCATGATAAACAGTATTTAGCGAGCGATATCTCCTATATCAGTCAGTTCGATGACATCTTGATTAACCTTCTTAATCTGAATAATCGGTTATTAAATGCAGAATTACGATGTTAATGTATGTGGTTTGTAAGTGGAGATCGTTACCGTAATCATTCCTGAATTTAACAACATTAAGTTATGACTAGGTTAGTCACTTCGCCCTCAAAATTTCCATCGGCCTCAACTAACTGCGGAAATCGTTGCGACCTTTAAGGACCTCCAGTCGCAACCCTACAAACCTTTCTTCCACTTACACGAAATGACGAACACTGGTGGTGAAAACCGAGAGTTGCCCTGCCGCGGCTACATCAGATTTTCATGAAAAAATTCGCTCAACTAGCATCAATGACAAAGGAATACGACAGATGCTGAAACCACAGCCAATTCTGGTAATACTCGTCTTTCCCAAAGTCGTGCATCGATGATAATTTGTGACTCTGACGAAGGTCTTGGACGAGGGAACTCCTGGAACAGCCATGGAAAGCTATTAACAGAGATCCGAAAACAGAAAACAAACTTCTCAGTTACTTGGCTACACGCCAAACCAAGATCAACGATCGCATATAAGCAATGTGCTCACGTATAAATTGAGGATACGGAAAGGCCACCTCTTCAGTTCATCTCAGCTAATGTTAAATGCACTGCAGTTTATCGTCCGCACCTAATTTTTATTGGCCACTTGTGTATATACAGGTACCCTTACGATAAACTAGGCTGAGAGTTTTCGGAAGAGGAAGATCTGTAGAAAAACATAATTTAAGAATGAATGTTAGAACCTACGGCAGTGAAGGGCGTCAAAGAAGGGCGCGTGGTGGCGCAGTGGTTGGAGACACCACTGCGACACACACGTGGAATCTATCACCACGCCCATGGCCCACAAAGGCATCCATCCTTCCGGGGTCGGTAAATTGGTACCAGACTTGTCTGGGAGGATAGGAGGATAGCAGCACTGGCTCGATATATCGGTGGACCACCGCGAGCCATTGTAAAGGCCAGATACGCATTCAATCACCTCCAACAATGCTTAGTGAAGTCGAATGCGCATCCCGCAAGAATTGATCAACGCCGAGAGCTTTATCCTTTATGCTTTACGTCAATATTAACCTTTCAACGCATAACAACGAAGAAAAGGAGCCACATCCCTGGAAAACAAAACGAATTTCTAGTAGGAAATCAGAAATATTGTGGATACCCAATTCTTAAGCAACAAAACGAATTCAGATAAACAGTAAACGTATATAAACTCAGCAATGGAGTTCACAAAGTGGAGTGCGGGGGAAATACGTGTTCGGGGCCAAATGCGGCAATCATCGCAGAGTTTTGGTCCAACCGTCAAACCATATTTGATATGAGCTCCGCCACTACGACTAACCGTGATTGTAGACGGTGTTATCGTTGACAAGGAATCCGAGAACGAACACTCTTTACTGAGTAGTACAGAAGTCAATTATTATGAGGGGGCCAGCCGCATGGCATTATCAGTTGTCACTTTTAATGAAAGGTCTAGTTTAAAGCTTTTCTATTACGTTCAGGTGTTAAACAAGACGCTGGAAAGACAGTTTTTCGGAATTTTCGATATAAAAAATGCACACTTTTTGCAATGACACTGAAACCGATGCTACGGTTTTGATGAAATGGCATGTCGGATTTCGGAAGGAAGAACCGTTGGTACAGCATATCCATCCTCCTTTATTTCATATGACAGAAGGTGCACACGGGCTATCGAAGAGATATGCGTAGTATTCGAGAATGATTTTCTCCGTTGCCTTTCTGGACACTGTAATTGTTCCATCTGCGCGTCGGGGTGCAATCATCTTGGCATTGTAATTGGCGAAGCACCGGCGGGCTTTGCGAATTCTTTTCCCAGCCTCTTCAGTTTCGACCACTAGTGCTGCTCTTCTCTCTTTGAGATCTTCTTTTATCGCCTGTCTGCACTGTTTTGCAAGTTCGGATGTTAGTTCGCGATTGCCTGCATCTCGTGTTATTCCACGCTGGAGTATAAGCTCGAGTGTTTCTGGAGGAGACAGACGTCTCTTGGTGACTTTCGAACTCTCAGCTTTCATAGCGCTAACGTGAAGATGTTGAATGAGCCGACCGTATTCTTCGTCGATGTTATCGACAATGGCATCTTCCCAACAACCAGTTGATGAATTGAATAGGTTTCAGTTTATGGTGGTTTTGGCACTTCGGTTTTTGAATTTAGCGGCTTTTTCTTCTTTCCGCGAAAAATTGAATCCTGTATGAAGGAAGCGATGGTCGGATCCCGTGTAGGATTTCTAGACAACAGCGACATCGATTAGGTGAAACCTTCCATTTACTATGATGTGGTCTATTTCGTTGTAGTAGTCTCAATTGGGAGACTCCCATGTCCAGCGTTGAGGGTGGGCTTTTGGAATTGCGCGTTACCACGGATGGTTTTAGTCGTCATGATAAATTCAGGGAGCCGCTCACCCTGTTCGCTTCATTCTAATCCGTAGAATACAATCTACATAAACAAGAACACGTTCACACAAGCTTGCATGAATACGCCTCGTAAATACGATATGTGCCAAATGGGCGCAGCAGAAACAGGGAGTCCATCCCCTGGATCCACCTGCGTCTCAGGGAAGCAAAGGTCGCTTGTTGTCGGCGAATATATATATATATATATATATATATATATACGTATACGTATATGTATGTACATATTCATATATATATATATATATATATATATATATACATATGCTACGAAACATGGGTCGCGTGTAGCTCAGTGGTCAGTGGCGTCCTGCAGTACGCATGAGATCGATCCCTACGCCATAGGGTCACTAAGCGCTCAAACCCTACGGGATCGACGAATTGGTACCAGACCTGTCTGGGAGGATTGTAGCGCTGACTCGATACGTCCTTAGGCCACCACGAGTCACTGTAAAGGACAGATATGCATACAATCACTTCCAAACAATGCTTAATGAAGTCGAATGCATGGCGCATTCCTAACGGATGGATGAACACCGAGAGCGTTACCTTTATCTTTACATGTATGCTGGACGATATAATACAGAAGTGTTTCGAAACTTTAAACAGCATAATCATCAATTTACTAATGAATTATCTGTGGAAAAATAGTCAATCGAAAATTCCTAAAGACTAAGAAAGTGAAGAAAATATGATTGTAGTCTACCATTAGTTTAATTAAGAGAAAAATAAATCCTAAACAATTATAATGGCAATAAAATAACCCACGTCCACGACCAATCACAGAAGTTGGAAACAAGTCGTAGAAAAACTAATAAAACAAAAAAAGAAGGAAAAGGGGAAATACAGAAAGAAAACAGAAACGCACCGGGTACAATTTCGATTGCGCAGTGATCCCTCGCAGACGCCGAGGATCGATGTTCTGGTCTTCTTTCATTATCGAGGGCAAGCTGATTGACATAACCTCCACCTTAATTAATAAGTGTACTACAACAGCCGAACGTACACAGCAGTGTACAGCCTGTGCACATGGTCATTAGTTTAATTAAACACTCCGTGCTAACCAAGCCCTCCATCCTTCCGAAGTCAGAAAACTGCAGTCAGGCTCTCTTGGGAGGACAAAACCACTGATTATATTCAACAGCAAGCTTCCGGAAGTCAGGTATAAACCAAATAACCCCTTTGTGTTGTTATGAATGGAGTCAGATCCAAGCCGTATACCTAAGAGACCGATCTACGCTAGAAGCTTTACCATATATTCATTCAGTCTCCCTTACCTGTCAGAAATAGGCAGTTATTTTGCTAATTCCCAATGATTTACCACGTTATCCTAGCTACAGGAAGCCCTTATCGTGTGTCTAAATGTGGTCCCCCATCGTGAGTCTAAGTTCGGTGCGATGTAAATCCAACACCCAACCAGGACATCTAAGCTCAGTAAGAAATCGAAGCATAAGTCTCAACATCGGCATTGGAGTAAACGAACGTCAGGAATTGAAGCCGCCCAAGTGGAAACCGAATACCAAGATAGCAAACCTCTCTTCGATTTACAAAGGCTTGCCGTTGGCAATGTCCACCTCTGGCAACACCTTGACATATCTTTCACAGGACCCCACGAGGAAAAAAAACTTGTCAAAGCAATAACAAAGGAGCAAGTGGAAGAGGTGCTGGAACCCATATATTGACATGGCCCTTATTAAAGAACTGGCGTTCAAACTTTATGTACGTCCCATCAATTAATCCTACTGCACCTTTTTTATAGAAATTTTTCCCCTTCATAAAGCCATTATTGCCTTCTTTTTAAAAAACAATCAGCATAAAAGATTATACTCTAAGAAAAATTCTTCACTAAACTCTGCAATGGTCAAGGTTAAAGTTAGCATTTTGTTCAAAAATAAAACAACTATAAATGATAATCTTCTCCAAAGTTCTGCCACTAAAGGAAGTTATGCGACCATTATTTCGTAACAAGAAAAACTACCTTCGACATCTCCAGATGACGGATGAGGCATTGTTATGTTCGGTGCAAGCGGATTCGCATTAGTACCTAGAATGGAGTCATCGAATTCTCCACGTAGTTAATCAGAACGTGTAACACTGAACCTTCTAACTGATCCAAATCGAATAAATTGTTAAGTTTTTAATGTAAGAACGAAATATTCCACTATTTCCTGGATACGTGCAGTGGTTAACGGTGCACTGGGATAGCACCAACTAGTTCAGTACACTAGATAATCACTAGTTCGATTCAGCGTTTTGCGCTAACGAGTACTTCGCTCCCGGTATCAACAGATTGGTACTGGCTTCTCTCAGATCATCCCGCTCCCTGTAATTCACAAAAGCTTACCCCTACCTGTGATGAAGATGTAGAAACGCCTCAACAAGGTTATCTAGGGATTTGAGGAAAACTCTACCCGACTAACACTCAGTAACATTCGTCAACTCCTTAAGCAGCAACGAAATCCATACCCAAAAGGCTCGAAGACCTTCGCGAACGGTGGATGCGAGGAAGCGAATGGAATGCAAGAAGTGCTGAGATCCACACAGTAGATATGAAGATGGAATAAGTAATTTAAAAAAAAAACAAAACGAAAGAAAGAAATCGATCATGATGTTATGAAAAAGCGAAGAACGCTCTAGTAGAGCTCTCGCAAGGCTCTAGACAGTACCTACTCGATCCAACATTCAACAACATTCATGAAGAAGACGAAATCGTGAAACAGGAACCCAAGCCACATCCAAAAACTGAAGACATTGGTATGTGGTGGATTCGAGACGATGAAGCGAAGGAATGAAACGCTGCGATTCGTTCAATATGTGAGGTCAGATCATATAAATAAAATTTACAAAATGAGACTATTGCCTATTAATTAATGTTACCAGGGGTATCCAGTTGCCCGGCACCAATTTCAATCGGTGGTGAGTCACCGTCAGGATGATCCTCGTCGTCATCAACGAACTGAGGACGACGATGCACTTCAACTTCGGTGACGTTCATTAAAACCGACAACTTGTCGAACGACGCGGATCGACGCCTGCTAAATAACGTCAACAATCGATGTACGGTACACGAAAAAAAATACTCGAGAGAAAAATATTCAGCACTCCAACCAGTAAAGACTGTGATCGAAGTTCGACGTTGGTTGTAATACAATGTTTGTTTTATAAAAAAAAAACAGCCGTAGACATACACTGACCTAGAAATAAAAACAGATATCGGTCGATTTCCAAGAAAAAAAGATGGTAAGCTTGTAAGAGTAAATACCCGACTATGTAAAAATACGTCCAATCGACTACTGTGGGAGTTGCGAAATTGGCAAATCGACGACTTGCGTACTTGCTTGGTCTTAAAAATTTCAACCTAAGAAGATAAAATTATTGTTTCATGGGCTGGCTGATCTTCAACAAGAAATGCAACTACTGCTAACGTCGTGTTCCCCATGGTTTGCAGCCTCATTGTGGCCAGTGGTCGAAGTTTGCATGCAAGGAATTGCGAGGTGTAGTAAGGATAAAATTCCTCCAACAAGATCACCCGAACTGGAATTGATATTTGAAATCCGAAGGGCCACGACCTATGTCGCCTCAGGCCACGAGATGTACACGTGGTTACTTTATCATTACGAATCACCTGTTTCGCCTGTAGTCCCGTTGATCGTCGAGTGAATGGAGCAGGCACCAGTAAATCTTCTATTTCTCCCTGTCCCGTGCAAGAGTAGCCCAGTGGGTTCCGCTCGCCCTAGGGACTCGTCGAGCATCGTCTCTTTCTTCTACGCTTTTCGTGAAGAACTCTGACCATCGAGTCGGTGGGATTCCTGCAGTGCGTTTAACATCTCCAGGAATCCAGTCACTAACGGCTCTTCTAAATCGGTTGTCATTCATACGCATTACGTGTCCGGCCCACCTTATCTTCGATTGTTTGGCGTACATAACGGCATCTTTGATTTTTGATCGTTGACGCAATTCGGATCTTCGGATCCCATCCCTTACTTGTGTGAAACGGGATACTCCAAGCATCGTCCTTTCTATTGCGTGTTCGATAACGCTGAGTGATCCTTCATCCTTCTTACGCAACGACCAGGTTTCTGGCGCATAGGTTAGGGCAGGAAGTACCATTGAGTCGAAAAGGTGGGCACGAAGTCGGGTGTTCGTTGTTCGCTTTACTACATCTTCGATGTTCTTGAAAGCTCCCCAAGCCGCTCGTTTCCTGCTGCTCAGCCCTGGAGCTAAATTGTTCATCACATTGATTTCCCAACCTAGACAGACATAATTGGACCATTTGGATATGTTCATTCCGCTGAGCGTAAATGGAGGATACGAAACCAATCCGTCCCTCATGAACATCGTTTTTGTAAGATTTAGTCGAAGACCGATCCTCCTCCAGGTTTCATCAAAGTCGGCAAGCATACGTTCCGCTTGGCTAATGTTCGGTGACATAAAGACGATGTCATCAGCAAAGCGAAGATGACGTATCCGCCGACCACCGATTTCCACTCCCATATTATCCACTTCCAATGTTCGCATGAAGTTCTGGAGGGTGGCGGCAAATAATTTTGGCGAGATGGTATCGCCTTGCCTAATTTCTGTTTTGACGTCAACGTTAATATCGTTGTAGAATGATGATATCTCGATTGTGAAATCCTTGTACAATCCACGAAGAATCTTTATGTACTGAGCAGGGAATACTTGACAATCAAGGGCTTCCATGACTGATTCTATCTCAATTGAATCAAAGGCCTTCTATAAATCGATGAAAGCGACGCAGAGCGGTTTTCTGTACTCTGGCGATACTTCAATGAGTCTCATTATCGTGTGGACATGGCCCTTCGTACTAGATTCTTTTCGGAACCATGCTTGCTCACATGGCTGTCCTTCGCCCAGTGCTCTGTCAATCTTCTTTAGGATGACTTAAGTGAAAAGCTTGTAGACGACAGACAGCAAGTAGATTGGGCGATAGTCGTCGATATCGTGTAGGTCACCTTTTTTGAACAATAACACGGCCTTGTTGGTCTTCCACTGAGTAGCGAGCATGCATTAAGACAGGTAACGTGTGAAGAGCCGATCCAGTGTGTTTACGAGGACTGGCGGAAGGTTCTTCAGGTGTTCTGATCTTATCCTGTCCGGACTTGGTGCTGTTCGACTTTTCACCGATGAAATGGCATGTCGGATTTCGGAAGGAAGAACCGTTGGTACAACATATCCATCCTCCTTTATTTCATATGACAGAAGGTGGACACGGGCTATCGAAGAGATATGCGTAGTATTCGAGAATGATTTTCTCCGTTGCCTTTCTGGACACTGTAATTGTTCCATCTGCGCGTTGGGGTGCAATCATCTTGGCATTGTAATTGGCGAAGCACCGGCGGGCTTTGCGAATTCTTTTCCCAGCCTCTTCAGTTTCGACCACTAGTGCTGCTCTTCTCTCTTTGAGATCTTCTTTTATCGCCTGTCTGCACTGTTTTGCAAGTTCGGATGTTAGTTCGCGATTGCCTACATCTCGTGTTATTCCACGCTGGAGTATAAGCTCGAGTGTTTCTGGAGGAGACAGACGTCTTTTGGTGACTTTCGAACTCTCAGCTTTCATAGCGCTAACGTGAAGATGTTGAATGAGCCGACCGTATTCTTCGTCGATGTTATCGACAATGGCATCTTCCCAACAACCAGTTGATGAATTGAATAGGTTTCAGTTTATGGTGGTTTTGGCACTTCGGTTTTTGAATTTAGCGGCTTTTTCTTCTTTCCGCGAAAAATTGAATCCTGTATGAAGGAAGCGATGGTCGGATCCCGTGTAGGATTTCTAGACAACAGCGACATCGATTAGGTGAAACCTTCCATTTACTATGATGTGGTCTATTTCGTTGTAGTAGTCTCAATTGGGAGACTCCCATGTCCAGCGTTGAGGGTGGGCTTTTGGAATTGCGCGTTACCACGGATGGTTTTAGTCGTCATGATAAATTCAGGGAGCCGCTCACCCTGTTCGCTTCATTCTAATCCGTAGAATACAATCTACATAAACAAGAACACGTTCACACACGCTTGCATGAATACGCCTCGTAAATACGATATGTGCCAAATGGGCGCAGCAGAAACAGGGAGTCCATCCCCTGGATCCACCTGCGTCTCAGGGAAGCAAAGGTCGCTTGTTGTTGGCGAATATATATACATCAAAAATGTTGCTGTTTTACGTAGAATACTTACTTCTATACAAGAATATTTACCTTTACCACCTACAATCCTGTTAATCAGCGAAGCGACTCGAGCAGACACCAGTGAGCTACATTCGACTAAGTCGCTCACCACGGCTGCTCTGTGGGTTCAGCTTACTCATACGACGTGAACAACATCTTAACCTTTTTATTTACTGCCTATTCTTTTTAACGGCAGGGTATTTTTCGAAATATAACTATTGTAATGCTGATATATTTGCAAAACTCCGGACCGCAGGTGTCTGCGGTGGGGAACGAACGCGCTATTGTCCTCTCCGGGGAGTAACGCGTTCACCATCACACCATGAAGGTCCTTTGTTTCGCCTGTCTCTCAGCTAGTTCGCAAAATACCCTGCCGTTAAAAAGAATGGGCAGTAAATAAAATGTTAAGATTGTGATTATAACTATAGCCTCAGCTTAACTGGGCTCAATACCGATTTGGTCCCCCCAGATCAATCCCGTTGGCGGGTGATTGCTGATGGCAAAAGATTGATAGAACTAGCTGAGAAACAGGCGAAACGAAGGACCCGCATGGTGTGGTGGTGAACACGTTACTCCCCGGAAAGGACGATAGCGCGTTCGTTCCCCACCGCTGACACCTGCGGTCCAGAGTTTTGCAAATATCTCAACATTACAATAGTTATATGAACAACGACATTTTGATACATTTTTTTGTTACTGTTCCAGGAGGGAATCTAACCATGAGTTTCTTGACGGGCTCTTCCGTGACATAGGTTTACTCCAATTTATGTTTCAGAAATGAGATGTCAAATCACTTCACCAGCTTAAGAAATCCTATGGGGGATTGGTTCCTAGCAGTAAACCGTAGTATGACACCCAACAACACTGAGACAATGAGCTATTGGGAAAGCGTGAATATTAGTTGTAACAAAAGCAGTAGGGACCAACTGTCTAGAATCAATCACTTAAAATGACCATCATCGACTAGAATATTTTTCATATTCAGCCCACACTGGATGGTTGGCATCAATGATGAGACAATAAATGAAAAAAGAGACAGTAGCAACTGTAGAAAATCCGAGAAATTCTGCAAAAAGTTCGGAACTTTAAAGAAGAAATCGAATTGAAATCTAGATCGAAGTAAATAAAATAAGACCGACCAATCAGAGTTGGTCCTACAACACAAATACGAATTCTACGAAATAAAATCAGTAAGTTGTTTTCTTCAAGATAACGTTGTTTGCGATCCTACGATGTGGTAGGAAAGAAATACACTGATACTTTCAAAATCGTATCGCCGCTGAATTTCAAAATATTTTCTAAACAAAAAAAACCACAGCAGAATGACTAAATTCATAACTGTAGAAAACGAAAAAAAGAAAAAAAAAACGCAATTGTACCCCGATTACGAGATTCACGAAATATAAGTTGTACCTTAGACCTGGCGTATGTGGCGCAGTGGCTGGAGGCGCCCTGCAACACACACGTGGAATTGATCCCCGCGCCCATAGCCCACCAACCCTTCCATCTCTCCGGGGTCGGTAAATTGGTAGCAAATTTGTCTGGGAGGATAGCAGTACCTCATCGATACATCGCTAGGTCACCGCGAATCACTGGAAAGGCCAGATATGCATTCAGTCACCTCCAACGATGCTTAATGAAGCCGAACGCATGGCGTATCCGTCAGCGATTGATCAACGCCGACAGCTTTATACTTTTACATTTTTGCCTTAGTCCTTCATAAGACTAACGCAACGAATAGCATAAGAAAAACAGAACCATGATTTAGCGAATTATCGAAAGTTTTAAGAAACAGAGATCTTCGTTCCTCATT